AAAAAAACTCCAAAATGCTCAGAAAAACCACATGAGGCCCCGAGAAATAAAACACAAAATCTCCTGAAGCGTTTTAACAAAACCCTAAACCGTTCCGAAATACTCCCTAGAAAAAAGAACGTTGCATTTCAACACTGAACAAACTGATTTATGTGCTCATTAGGAACAATATTCCTAAAAGATACATCGAAGGCAGGTCGAACGACACCGTCCTTCACACGATCTTGAAGTCGATAGAGCAAAGCTTTTTGCATAAAAGCTTTATACAATCTCTAAATCGATGGAGCTTTTAATATTGACCTTCCGGGTGTAATCGTCAAATACTTAATTAAGCCGCACCAAAAAAAGCTTATACCGCTAACTCTGCGACAGAACTGCCGCGGCGAGGTAGTGCTAAGATCCCGTGCAGGACTAACAGCGATGTGTCACATGGTGCTGTCCTCTCACAGCTTCTTTGTATCTCGGCTATAAACGACCGAACTTGTTCTTGTCTTGTCTTGTTCATTAGAAGTACAGATATCCCACGCCACTCTTGCCTCAAAAAGAGGCGTTTACTTGGCGCTTTCCGACAGATTCTTATGCTTGGTTTTCGAAAGAAAGAAGAAAAAGTAAAGAAAGCATATGTGGCTCTAAACTGCTGCATGTGATCAATTGGAAAAAGATAGGGCTTCTGTCCTGGCTCTATGAAATCATAGTTAAACATATAATGGATCCCTCATATGGTGACGTATAAAATGAAAGATCGCCCTGTTAATAAAGCTCTCATTGAAATCAGTTAGGCTCCTGGAACCATCTATACCTCACTGACTCAAGACCTGGACACTCACAAGCCCTCTCCGGTGCCAGCTCACAGTGATATGTTAGAAAACTGCGCGGAGTATGAGCTGGCCACGTAAGGCACTCTCTAGTCGGTCTCACCAAGAAAAGAGAGGGTGAGAGTATTATTGTCTACATATGCACTTCGTGCCAGCTCAACGAACGCTCAGCGAAAACCAGGATAAGGTCTTTCTAGCCGAGGGTGGACCAAAGCCGCAATTCTTGATTATGGTGGGTGTATTGATTGGGCACTGCCGGATTGTTATTCATGCAATCAGAATATATAAATATCACTCCGGATGCTCATTTTCGCAGCTGTTTAGAGGACAGAAACCGAGTTCAAATCATCTGAATACTTCATTATCTCAATACTTCTACCCGGTTTTTACAAAAAAACTTCGGTTTAGACACGTTGAATCACACTTTTTAAACAGCCCGTAAAAGCATTGCGGGACCTACACTTCTGCCTGCGAAACTTCGTTTGTAGCACGCTGTAAATACGGACTCACTGTTGGTGTCCAGACAACTTTTGTTTTTCTCTCAAAACACTTTTACCTTAACTTAAGAGTTATAGTCCAATACTAAGATCGGTTTTTGGGGCTTTCACTGTATATTACCTAAGCTAATAGAAGCCGTTCGGCAATGCCACTTCTACCTTTTGATTCCACAATATAAATATATCTTTTATTTAAAGTCTCAAGTTTTCTTCTGCGCAAAAATCTCGTACATATATCCTCCTTTTCACTCTGAAAAAACACCCTTAACTGTAGTATAGAGCTTATCGTAACTATACGACACTATTTACTTTTATATTACTTAATTTGAATTTTTTTTTTTAAGTATAGTTCATTCTATCCACAAAATTTCTTCTTATTCGTGATTGGCGCTGTAACTGCGTAAACTATTTTGGCCGAGTCCAACAAAACACGCCAGTCGTATCACTCTTTTTATAATGAATTTTTCAACAAGCGTTTGGTTATGCAATTTCATAGCCCACTCAATTGTCTCTCGTTTTCTTTCATACAAAGTATGTTTAAAAAAAGAAAATTGCCAAATATCAAAGGTAATTTGTAGCCTCTTCAGCCTTCATTTTATTATACTAAAATTGAAAAAGCTATGAAACTTTGTAGACTTATTTTGAATTTTTATTAAAGAATGAACTACAGTGTCGAACAAAAGTATTGGAACAAAGAATATTTCGCAAGTTATGCGGACGTTGTTATTATTTTCTTCGATACAAAAAAAAAAAATTAATGTCGAATATGCTTTGTGTTTAAGAAACTACGTGAAAATATTTGCTAAACATCGATGCGATTTTTTAGCAGCTTAAAACTTGCTTTTTGTTATACTAAAATTGAACGGGCTATGCATTTTTAGAACTTTTATAAAAAATCTGAGTTGCAAATT